ACTCCACCATCATATCTGAGGAAAGGACTTCAAAATCAAATATAAGATGGGAAGCTGTTTAAACCACAAGTGTCTGTGGTAAATAAAGCTTAGCAGCAGAAAGACAAAAAAATATTACCTATATTTTGCCCAACTTTAAAGAGTTAAAACCAAGTGAACTAACTTTCTTAAGGATTAATCAGACTCCAATACAAAAACATATTTACAAGGAAAAAAACATAATTTACTCATGATTCACATTTTATTAATCCTCTGTCGTAGACATCGTAAAACTGTTGAGAAAGTAAAGGTCCAAGAATAAACTTACGAATATTGGGAAATCATATCGAGTCCAGATTCACAAATTGACCAAACTCGTAACTCATGATCCCAAGAAGTAGTTGCAATAACATCATTGTCACATGCAATACTCCAGATCCATCCCTAAATTTGATATCAAAAGTAAATAAGCAACTCCAACACTGTGAGCTTGGTTATTCGTACAAAGCGGACGTGGTTCTTCTTGAGAAAGGAAATCTTTCAGGGCAATAAGTGAAAGGGTACCACCTCGATCTCCAACAACACTTAAATGCTGGTGGGGAAACTGAAATCAAAGAGAAATTAAAATGGTAAAGCAAATCAAACTTTGAGGATCTTTAAGTCATCGATGCAATAGCATGAGTAATGACGGCAATGCTTATTCACAATTGAATTCGAATCTTCCTCAAACCAGCTTTCAATGATATCGCGAGCAATGCAGACATCCTTCCAGTTGACACGTTTGTCTAAATAAATAAAGCACAATAAATAATTTATTTCATTACTTGCCTGGAATACACGAATACTGACTATTAGAGCCTTTAGAGAGTCGGCGTAACCAAAAAGCCTTTTGATTAATACAATCCGACAATGTATTACTAGAATTAGATAATGCGAGAACGTCTTCAATTGAAAGATGTTCACAAATACGTTGAATAATTTCAGCTGGAAGACTGGTAATATCGATCATATTCGAGAGTAACCAGTGAATGTTTAAGAAGCCGCAGAGTTTTGATTGGGGAGTTTGTGTTGGGAAGATTGCTTTAAGTGATTTATAAAAATACTATTGAATCCGTATTTAAAATGACTAAACTTTGGCATCTAAAATTCTTCACAATGCATTTCATATTTTAAATGAAATTGATATTCTATTGTATAAATGTTTTAGACATACAAAAGCAACTAATCAAACTTCACATTCTTCTATTACCTATAAGTAAAATGGTCCAGTGTGATCTTTTTAATTTATAATGAACTTGTTATATAAATGTGATGACTTAAGCTTAGAAGTGATTCCAGTCTATTTTAGTATTTTATATTAATTTCTATATTATTTTTACGGCTCCTCGCTCTAATATCTGGCCATTTGCTTTCGTTTACTTTACAGAACTATATATCTTAACCTATTCGTTGGCACACAAATACCGCCTCTAGTTTCTCTAAGTTTCATAGTACATATTTTAATAGGAGATAAGAGAATAGCTGTGGATAGTTCATATACCTTTTAAAGAAAATACTTGGAACCATCAGGTCGCTTAATTTTGAACTCTGAGTTTATGCACTGTAAGGAAATAGCGGTGAATAATCACCTGAGACTTCCTTGAATTACCTGTGACATTCCGATTCTCAACACTGCCACAATAGAACGCATAATGTCTATTCATGACGCCTAAAGACATGCTTTTCGATTAGGCTGGATAAATTGCGTTTTCCTCGATTTACAACTACGTATTGCCTTTCGGTAACTCTAAGAGTTGCTCCACTTATTGCGTCACGACACAGCACTATATGCACCACGTGTAGTCACCCACCATTTTTATAAGTGCTTTTACGGTAATGTCAACTCTCTACTGCTACACTGAGGATGGTATTAGAGCTACAATTCAAGGACTTCTTAATTCCAATGCAAACACCTATCAGCGACAAAGTCAATCGGTAATTAGTCCTTTCTAATTTATATTGCTGTAGTTTGAGGAGATAAGCTAATGGACTACACTCAAAACTAAGTTTGTTTCCATCATAGATTCAATATTTTCGTAACGTAGAAAAATGAGAATAACTTTGTTTATAAAATGAATAATGGATATAATAATGTAAATACAAATATATTAATAAAAAAATTGTAATTAAAGTGGGTGGTTTGATTAGCTTAGTCTTCATCAGAACTGTCCAAGATACGAGTGCGACGAATTGAGTGGCGAAGGACTGAACTGAAAGACAATAAAACCTATTTATACTTTAATTCATTTTGCGTCAGTTTAGTTTTATATTCACTATAGTGCATATCTAGTTAACCAAATAGGCCTTTGAAGAGATAAAACGAAAAATGGCGCAACGGCAAATGTGCTCATCAGCAAAGTCAGAGGACGTCGATTTGTTGTTCATCGGTGGATTTCCATTGAATAGAAAGGCAGACAATAATGGTTGAATTAGGCCAACAAAGAAGATGATATAATTCAAGCTTCCTGGTAAAAAATGATCTTGACAGTTAGAGTTCGAGAAATAGAGAATTTGAATTTTTTGAGCGATTGAATTGGTTTCTAAGTAAAAGTGCTCAAATGTTAGCACTATAATTAAGCTATTTATGGAAATATATCAATTTAGGTCGACTTATGTCGTGAGGTCTCTTTATCCCGAAACTCTCTCCACCTTTATAAAAAGGTGAGCTTTTGCTTCTTTATCATAATTAATCTAAGTGTTAGGAAATTTCAGTTCTTATAATATATTTTATACATCAAGATGAACTTCAAGTTTTTTGCGAATACCTTTTTAACCACAAGAAAGAAAGGTCATTAAATGAACGAGAATACAACAGCATAATTGAAGGAATGACTCAAGCTTCATTTAATTAAATGCATTTATGACGGATAAGTCAGATTTACCCTTCAGGAAGAATGTCATCAGCGGGAACTTCAGTGTAAGCCCTATTACTCTGTTCTTCATCTCCATTATTCGCATCCTCTACAGTGACTTGTACACCGTCTCCGAGAACTTCAGCAGTATATTCATTCTGGAAGCCAGATTCCGACCCAGATGACCGAAAAGGAGGGGTTTTCCTAGAACTGAAAACAGTAAACATTGAGAAGAGGTGCACATGCACAGGTAATAGTTATGACCCAAGGCAAAGGAAGAAAAGACTGGGTCACAATAGAGGAATTAACGGCAGAGCGATGAAAAGGATGCTGTTACTGTCGACACGAGTTTTGGACTCCGGTTGTATACTATTCTTCAGTTGGTTAGAGCGCATTTCATGGATTAATTTTCATGAGTCGCAAACTAGATTACTGAAAAAAGATATTTACTATCTAACTAGTCTCTCAATTACTTATTACTCCCTTAAAGAATTCACAAAGTAAACTACAAAAGTATCACCCACTTTATTCTTTGCTCACTTCCACCGTTATAGAATCTAATTTTTGTAGAAACTGTCAAATAAAAGCAAATGAAGCAGACTCCCCCTCCCCAAATCCCAACTTCCACAACCCCCATCAGTACCAACTGAATAAGGACGTACTCAATTTCCCTCTCATTTCAATCTGGGTGAATGGGGAATAGCAACTTAGCGGGTTGGAATGAGGATTCATGATTAGTAGTTTAATACTGTAGACAACCCAGTTAGAAGTACGGAGCAGTGGACAACATGACTCACCCCTTTAAAAGACTTTCCCTAGGGACTTCACTGTCGATCTGCTCTTCTTCGTCATCGTCCTTTAAAATAACTTTTCTGCGTCCTCTCGCTTGAGAATACCGAAAATCCTCAATATCATCTTCGGTATGGACATCAAATTGAGGTTGAGAAGAAAGTGCAGCCGGAGAAACCGCTCTGTAACTGGAGATAGCAAAATAAATCGCTGAGAATATGCGCACTTTGTGATAAAAGTAGTAAGACAATCACTCAAAAAACCTACCCACAATATTGAAACAAGAGAAAATTGCTCAGAAAGGAGGATATTTTACAACTAAGAACTGACATTAATAAATAATAAGGGAATTTTTAACTGTAAAATAAAGGAATTGACCGAATACAGCTGGTCCATAATCTGAGCGATATAAAACAGTAAACACATTCCATAATAGACCATGGTAAGGAAACGTTTCGAGAGAGAGAAAACAACGCAAGCAAATTCGGGGTCATTGAACTGAGCTATTTGTATAAATGAACTAACACCTTTCAATTTTGTGATATAATGTCTGATGATCAGTGGCAAAATATCATTTTAGGAGACTTTTTCATTCTGATTTTTACAAAGAAACGGTTAATTCAGGGAGATCATACAACAGTTAACAACCTCCAATCTTGCAGACAAGTAATTTAATCACTGCACCAGTGACGCACTATACCACAATGGAATTACGGTAGTTGATAAGTGCGAATGATAAAGTTTAACTTTGGATATTTTGCCCAGGTGCCTATTATAGAAGCTATACTGTAAAGTACACTTCCGCTTAAACAGACCACTCCCTTCTTAATAAAGCAATAATAAGCAACTCACCTATCAGATGCATCAAATGCTGCATCTGCTGTAATCGTGTCCATCTTATCATTGCTGTCGCCATCAGTATCATCACCATCATCTCTGAAAGCAACCAACTTTCGTCGTTTCTTGGGATGTGGTTCTTCTCCCTCTGATTGAACAGCGGTATTTTCTTGATTAGTAATTTCTGCCATAGCCGATTCGAGCTCTCTGTTAAATAGAAAATTGCGTAAAGGGAAATGTAAACCAGTCATTAACTGTTTTCTTCAATTAAAATATTCAATCTCTGTAATTAGGAACCAATTGCCCCATTGATGGGACAGTAACACACTTGATATTAGAGATATAATATTCCGAATTCAGCAAAAACTTGGAGAACTTAATTTCTTGATTTAACCTTAAGCTTGCGTGTGGAAACATCATACGCCTTCAATTAGACCAAATTTACCAACTGTTCCAACTAAACAACCCAAGTAATTGTGACTGGGGTCACAATTTTCACGACTACCATTTACCCATCATAACTCCTTTGTAAGCACACACCAAGACCTCAGATCTTCACGCTTCTACTTATCATTTGCCTTTCATCTCTCTTAGCAACTACTACTAGTAAATCCGCTTGCCGTAATTTTGCGTGTGCCAGAGTGAAAATTTGTAAGAGTTAGAGAAGAGTAGTTTTTAGAATAGAAAAAAGTCAAAAGTCTCTTTCTGAACAATAACCTTTAAATATCAAAAAAAGCTAAAGTAAAGTATATTAAATGGCTAATTGGATGTCACCAATGAAATGAAGGAAAAATCGAAAATTAGGAATTTAATAGGAGGAAATAGATTTGCCAGAAAGCAAAATGAATCGTATTCGGGCCTTTGTGTTGAACATTATATATTGATAAAAGTACTAACTTGAATAAAAAAAAATAAGGATTTTAAGCTTAGTCGAAGGTTATGCATCCAGAAGCCCCTTTCAGTTGTGACCAACCCACCATCAAGGAGCTTTGAAATCCTCTTGTCAGAAATTCCAAATTTTTATGATATTCATTCTGACCAAACCAGTTTCTATTGCAGTGTAAATAAATCATTCGATCTCACCGATAATTAATTTATAAACGAAATAGCACTCCCCGGTAAATTTCTCACTCTTATGGAAAAAGAAATTGGCAGAATTGAATTGCCTACGTAGCATTTCAACCCGAACAGTTGTATATCCATGCCTCTATTTCAATCTCATGTTAGTTAACTACGGAAAAAGTCATAAAGAGTGAGAAATTTAGAGAAAAATGGGCAAACAAGCATACCTATTCAGAATCTTATCGTCAATCTCATCGTCAAGGTCTACACTAGCAGGCTCAGTAGTTCTCACAGCACGATTAGCTGCAATTGGACGACGCATTGCACGACGTTTTAGACGAATTGCTGGCCGGCTAATCGATTTTCGGACATCTTCCCCATTATCGTTGTCGGAACTCTCTTCAGAAGAGGAGGAACTCTCATCCGAACTCTAACAACAAATAAGAGGTACCTGAGGACACCCTTCCAATAAACCCTCACAGCATTTGTATTCAGAGTAGTGACTTACTTCGTTTGAGCTTTCATCGGGATCATAATAAAGTGATCGTCTCCGTTCTTCTTCAGTTACCTCATCGGTAGTTTCCTTCGAAAAATGGACAAACATGTAGATAGCAATCAAATTCGTGAATTTCAATAGTTAAAATCAATTAAAAACCAGGCCATAGTTGATATCTAAGAAGCATAGGTCTCGGATTATCAAGAAAATACCAATCTAATGCATTGGTACTAATAAAAAAAAGGCAGAAGCATTCGTAATGCTTTAAATTTCTTCTTTTTCTTTAGCTGTCTACTTCGTCGTGTATTTAAATCCCCTAACCGCTATATTTTGTTCAGATACTTCCTCATTATTCAATATTGTACGTGTTTTATTCGCCATAAGGAATAGTTAGGAAAAAAATTATCGGCGAAATTCAATGCCCGTTGCTATTTCAGACTCAAAGAAACCAACCCCAATTTTGGTTCTAGGCTCTCCTCAGTGGCAGACCAAATGATAGTTCCCTTTGGAACTCGTTTAGATTATCGTAAACCAAAACGACGTGGTCTCGATAAATTTTGCCTCTTTGAACTCCCCCTCAAGTCGCTCGCCTTCACGTTACATCAATGAGAAGAAAGGGTCGCATAGCATTAAAATTGATCGCTGTAATCCCGAAGCTAAAGGCGGTGCTTTCGTACTTTCCCAATATACTGCTATTAAAGCTAAGTACCCTTAGAACTCTGAAAGGAGAAACACTGATATACAATCTCATAGGCCTTTATTCTCTCACTTTTACATATATGAAAATGTGGTACACGAAAAATGAAGAGATAAGAGTTATAGATGCCTAAAAGTTCTGGTTAAAAGGTTAACTCTTCCAAAACCCGAAGATAACATTTATAAAAAATATTATTTAACTGCTATAAATGTACCCCCACCCTTGGGGGAAGCTGAAGTCAATGTTTAAGGGCTAATGATAAATATCATAAAGCCTGCCATTTGAAATAATAATAACATTTAGAAAAAAAATATAATTACCTTGTTTACAACAGGGATTTCCTTGGAAATGATTGGTTCTGTTACGCGATATCGTGGCTCCTAAAGATTAACAAATGTAGAAACAGATTTAGAGATTAAATGGGAGGACCATAGAACTGCCCCTATCAAAAAGAAATGCGAGGGTAGAATTGCTGTTGAAGTTTCCAGAATGAACTAAAAGAATGTCGCTCCAACAAACCGCAATAATTAATCTAAACTGGCCTATGATATGCGCGTCACCAGTAAATCTAAGAAACTTGCGCATTTACGGATTAATGGAGCATTAACGAATGCAGTGCTAATAGTGTGAAAAAATTTCGCAAATTGGAATAAACTCATCCAATGACTACATGATATTCGAACTTTGGTAATAACATAATACAATAGTTAAAATATTGGAAACTTTAGACTTCACCTCAGAATCAGAGATGATATGAACAATTTCCTCATCATCCGAATCCCGCTTTCGTTTACGCCTGCCAGATTTTCTCGCTTTAGTGGTTTTCGCCATGAAAATACCTCCTCCTAACTCGACAAAATCGGACTCCGATTTCTTGCGTGTTCGATTACGCTTAATCTTGCCAAAGTCCCTCGCTTGCTCAACCAATCCCAGTTCATATAGCTTTTTGCGAACTTCCTGACGGTCCCGCAAAATCGGCGGTTGAGTCGCTTCTTCATGATGCTGAAATTGTTCGTATTCTCTAAGCTTACGTTCATGCTCCAACTTTAGTTCGGTCATGACATCTTCAAATCGGTCTAAAGAATGTAGGGTTAAGATACTTCGGAATTAAGAACATACATTCTGACCCCTCGTATTCCTGGAAGAGTTCTTTCAAATGGACCACTTCTTCTTCTGTCCAGCCTGGCCTTCTAGAACGACTTCGGCGAATAAATCCACTCTCATCTCCTGCGTGAATCCTTCAAGAATAAACAAACAAAAAGAGTGTTAATCTGATACAAAAAATATGCCCTATATATCGATTTATGGCTCAACCATTGCCAGTTTGTACTTGACATCAAATCTGCTACCCTTTGGTAGGAAAATATCATGTAGGATAAAGAAATGGAATGAAAATATAGGGACCATCTCCATCAAAGAAAATAAATTCTCGACTAACCTCATAGTGAAAAGATGAAAGGATAACCGTTCACAAATTTCATAAAATCGTTTTCGAACTATACGCACATCAAAATGAACTTACGTGAATTTCTTACTTACATAAATGGAGTAGTAAGCGCAATCCCACTTGACTTAAAAACACAAAGTAATACCGATTAGTGGTTTACGTTTCCCACTTCTCTCTTGATGGATGACATTTTACTACTAACCAGCTGTCACCGGACCCAACCGCAGAAGCTTTGATCCCATGCTGTCTTCTACGTGAGGGACTCAATTTTTAGCCCTAACACCTGGGCTTGGTGACCAAATTAGTGAATTCATTAAGAGCATTTTAGCAAGCCTATCTTAATTTTGGGACAAATAAGGCTGAAAGTATGCTCAACCACTATGAATGCTTAAAATAACTCACGTCATCATTTTGAGATTCTTAGCCGAGGCGACCTTTCCAAGATACATCAGACGCATAATAATCTGACGCCGAGTTTTTGTCGGATCAGAGAAATTTCGTTTCAGTACATCAGCCAAATCTTCACCTATTATATAAAAACCAAGTCTTAGTAAACATCCTTTTGATAGTTAAATATCGCACATCTAGAAGCATAAATGTTACCTTTAGGTACAGGGTCGTATCTAAAAGCCTCAAAGAGCTGGTCCAACTCTTTATCCAATTCTGGACTCCAGTTAGATGTTTTTGGCCTAAAGAAAGAAAAATTTAATAAACGTAAGCGCTGCTAGCTAATAGGGGATTTCAGCAGTTTGGATATACACTCACCCAGATTCGTATGTTCCATATCCAGAATATGCTTCAGCAGCTTCTCTAGTACTCTTGAAGAAAAGCGCCTCCACGACAACTGCTCGAGAATGTTCAAAAGCCGTGAAGAACTTGCGAAGAATGTACTTAATAAATCGTAGTAATTCCTATAAACGATATGTTAATAAGCAACACCTGAAGGTATAAAAAACCTTGAATTCGTCGAGCTTTCCAACAACAGGATCTTGAACAATAGTTTCGAAAACTTGGAAAAGTCGAAGTTGGAAGAGAACACCGGGTAAGTTCTGTTTGACGACGATTTTGTGCAAGAGTTGTACCAAATGGTTGTTCGTTGATGGAGGATTCAATGCGTAGTTCGCTAAGAGTAAGCTATTAAGGCGAAATATGCAAAACTTTAAAAACGGAGGGTATTTGAAGGCTTCTATAGTTAGGATATCGTCATTATCACTCATCGCTATGGGCAAAAGCTAAACTGTTACATAGAATAGCAAATGAATACCAAATGATCCAATGATGCCTAATAGGAGATCACTCCACTTGGTGACGGCAAGACTTAAAGAGACAGATTCCATGTTTTGTCAAGAGATGAGCAATTCCTACTAAATAGCCCAGCATCGTTATCGATAATGAGGACGCAAGCCGCCTATAAAGCTAACACCCTTCCACCTGCTGGAGATATTTTGGCGTGCAAGCATGAATAATAAGAGAACCGATTCGATTGGAGTAATCCCAAATGTACCAGACATCTTATTTCTCTCTGGATCTTTGTCCACTAAACTCCTTGGGATTACGTTAGCTCAGAAAGAGCCTCACTTTACACAGAAACATTAAGTGGAAAAGGAGAATGAAAAAGTGAATTTACGTAAAAGAACGAATGATGTGGGGATGGGTGAATCGAAGGAGGAAGGAGTTGATATCGAAAGCGACCTCCTTCTCCACAACATCTAATTCACGTTCCTCGTCGTCTTCGGAATCAAGCAACTCCCGACGTATCAAATTCTCCTCATCCTCTTCTATCCAAGTGGTCTCCTCACGAAGAGCACTCTCTGTGGCCTCCAGCTCTTCGGCTATTTAAGGAAAGAAAATATCACAATGAGCACATTCGATAAAGTAGAAAAATAGTGCAAGGATAATGATGTCAATAATTGGCATTAAATGTTGCACTTTTTCGCAAATGCTCCACGCAATATAATACATGTTAAAGTGTCTGTAGCAAACACCCATTTGTAATTTAGCTTTAAATCCTCTTCAATTGCATTAGTAGTCTCTTTCGTAAAAGACGTAAATATCTCAGGAAGGGATTAGGATCAACTGATAAATAACATCCCTTAGATTTTATATGTGAAGAGTTATGAATTACACTGTGTATATAGTTCGAGTTGAAATTGAATAAGCTTCGGTTACAACAAAGATTTCTTGTGCTTACATTTTTCATAATTTTGTAGATAGTAAAACTAAGATTATACTCGCGGTCATTGGCATTATACCCCTAAACGGTGGGTAAAAGCTACGATTGGTCATGTAATTTAGACCAATCAGAAGTAAAGTTCATTGTGGATTAAAACTCACCAGCCAAGTCTAGCACGAATATCTTCCATAGAGATGTATACTCAGCAACCTTGATCGACTCCAATCCCGCCTGAGCAGCCTTCATTTTCTCCCTCGCCAAATCCTCTCCTCCATCCTCATCCTCTACTTCATTCTCTTCTTCATTAGATGGAGCCGCTTCGGGCCAAATATCCCACATCTTCCTGGCTAGAGCCAGGGCTCTCGCGGCCTGATTTTCATGAAGAGCGGAGTGCACCAAACGAATGGCATTTCTCAACTGAATAGCCATTGCTTCACTCTCATTCTCTCCCATCAAGGTGGGATCAAAAAGTTCGGGTAGCTCCTCACTCGGTGGGAGTTCAAGGTTTCCCAACAGAGCAGAGAGGAGGTTGGTTGAGAGGGTCGTCCAAACTCGTGTTAGACGAGCAGCCCTCTCTTCAGGAGTCTCATTAGCTCGATCAAGAAGACGTTTCCGGGCAGCCAGCATTTCCTTCTGTCGCTGCTTATGAGCAGCACATTCGAGACGACGTTTCTCGCTGCGTTGCCGACGCTTTTGACGTCGAGATACGATTAAGGTTGTGGCATTCTTTGATTGGAATGTGAGGAGACTGATGAATAAATGAGTGACTTCCACCAGATCTAGCAAATATTCCCTAGAAAATAAAAAAGTTTCAATATTAATAACTCGAAGTTATTCCCCCAGTTTTCTAGCCCTTTAAATATCTCCTCATACATCATTCATTCTTCCTCTTTCGAGTGGGTTATCGATGTTTACCACCATATTATTTCTGGTTAGAGTTTTGATCTAATACAGCTGATTACGATCATCTTTCAAATAACATACAGTCTTGAAAACGAAAGATATCCTTGTGAATCGAGCTGATATAAGCGCATTTGTCCTTTGCTTCGTTAAGGAAAATATTTGCGCTGATTTCAAAACAGCAAATAGAAGCTTATAGCGGCTAAACTCTAAGATTAATACAGATGTAAGAGACGTAACTAAGCTTTCGTTAAACACTCGCAATTGCAGGCATTAGGTTACTTAGTGCACCAAACGATTAAGGCTGAAACCTAAAAGGTGTGATTATGATAACTGAAATCTAATTACATTGATCCCAAATTGGCTAGTTCGTATATCGATTACTTTCAATGTATTTATAGATTCATAAATGATTACCTTTTAATTTCTTTCAAATTCATACCAACACCAAAATTTCCCCAAAAAAACAGTTATTCAACGCAAAAAAACAAGATCGATTTTGGGGAAAATGAAAGAATCCCTGAGAATTTAGCAATGAAAAGTCTTATATTAATCACCTATCGCTTACTATTTTATATTACACCCCTAAGCAATTATTTTGCAAAGCTTTGAGCAATAACCACGTACTTTGACTGGAGAGATTCATTGTACTCACGCAGGAGGTAGACGATAAGATCCTGGTATTCGGCCACGTAGAAGATATTCGCTGAAAAATTTAGATATGCAATAACCATCAGTTAAGTTACCATAAAGATCTTGGAAACATGACCACGGTTATGAAGAGAGGAAGTGATTTAGAGGCAAAATGGGTAATGAACCAGTCCTATTTCCTTATTTATCAACAATTGATTTCATTACCAAGTGCTGTATTACGATTGGATGTAATATGGTATCCAAAGACAATCTCAGCATTTTAAAAATTATGATGGAATAACTAATTAAATTAAGACTGGTAAAAATCGACTTCGGATCTAGGCTGATATAAAATTCTGAAGTTTAATAATATTTTTGGACCTGACATTAGTTTCGTACAGATCCAACTATTCAATATGTAAACAGAGTTAAAGATGGGGAAAGAGCAATCCGAAAGAAAGAACATCGTAACTATATCGACGCAAGAAAAGAACATTTGCCATAGAGGACCTTAAGGTAAAAAAATTGACTCATAGTTGGCAGGCTGCATAAGTGTGTATGCAGATGAAACACACAGACACACTGCTAGGCGCACGTACAAAGATGGCCAACCCTACTACTGGCTAATTCTCGGGAACAGAACGATAGAGGCTCCAAGGTAGCCACATTCTTCCTAAGTAAGGTGGCAGCATTTCCCAAGGAGTTTTAGAAGTTTTGGATCTAACCAGAAAATGAATCGAATATTTTCCGCGTACCTGTGTGAAGCGCAAAACCTCCTTTTCTTATGCATTGGGTTATCGATTAACTCTCCTCTACTCATTCCCCTGGGAAGTGAGCCAACTGTGTCCTTGCAAAATATCAATAGTTAAATTTAGAACTATTTTAATAGATTTTTCCTTCAAATAAGTAGTAAAAACCATAAAAGTATGCTTGCCCATCAGTGACTCCGCAACCTGTTTTTGATTTTTCAGTCTCTGTTCCTTAGCCTCATGTGTCTCCCGTTCGTCTCCTTCGATGCTCGGTTCTAACTTCTTAGCACTCCCTCTGAGCATCTCTTGAAGACAGAGAAGAAATTCCTTGTAGGCCGAGACAACCAGAGCTAAACGTCGGCTACATTGAAGGGCATTCTGATTTCTAGCCCCACCTCGTTTGTCCGTCAAGAGAGCCTCTCGATAACCCATTGAGAGCGTGTAGACCCAATTGAAGACACTCACATTAAGAGACTCACTTAGGTACTGAGGACGGAATCTATAGAGGCGACAGAAGGCCATGAAGAAATGCATTGCCCAGAGATAGTAAGTCTCATCGTTGGCCTGTGTGCTCTGTCGCATTATCGCACTCCTGGCTGAAGCCATGAGGAGATTGTAACAATTTTGCAGAAACTCCCAACAAAATTTCTACAATAGATAGAGGAAATATGTTCTGTATTGAATGGCAATGCCTTAATTAAATGCTACAATCATATATTTGATAACAAAAGAGAAGTGAACACGAACTTAAGTTTATCAAAACCGATATCCCGTATATTTGTCCCCAAATGACTTCAGTAATAACCTCGTTAGGAAATATGTAGGTGACAGAGTCGAGGTTTCGTCGTTATGAGAAATTCTCAATCCTCGATATCGTGACAATTGGTGCACGATACCAAGACCAACAGCGCCAATTCAAATTGGTATTTGTGGTGGGAAGATAATTCCTTAACCTTAATTCCTATCTTTCGTAAATACTGAAGATACCATAACCCTTCACGCAAGCTAGCTAATATATAAGGTGCTCATGCATACATTTTTCAACGTTTCTCAAGGGCCGATTTGATTATAGCCTAGTAATGGGAGCAGTGAAACAAAGGTTTTAAAATGTGAAGTACAAGTGTATAGTAATCACAACTTCAGATCCTTAAAATTTTTTATTCGCATCTCATTCCACTCCCCCCCCCCCTCCTCCAAAAAAAATAATAGCTAATATTTAGAAATATTTTCTTCAATTCGTAAAAAACTGGTTGAGTCATTCCTAATTAGCCCAGCTAGAAAGTAATCTTAAGACTACTTAAATATTATTTCAGTAGAGGAGTGTGGAAAATACCTGAAGAAAGAGTTGGATACTCAGAACGGACCGGCGATGATATTCGCGTTCAATGAGGGGCTTACGATTGACAGCTTTGCGACGAATTCGTTTGCCCAGATTAAGATCTACCTGTCCGATGGCTGAGATCGACGTCTGGTTCTTGCCGGAGTCGAGGTGACTTCGACGCAGAGGCGCTGTCACATCGTGGTGATAGATTAGGGGACGACTGGAAATGGACTGAGTTCCAAGGAGTTCAAAGGTTCCACCGAAGCGATTATGACTAAGTAATAAGAATATCCAACTAACTTTACTCCGGCATCTCATGTTTCCTACTTCCTGATCCCTAAAACTTATTCAGATTCTCATTCCTTGATAAGCTTGGGAAAATTCATTGCTGAAACGATTCTTTGATAATATTCTGATCACTAGAATGAGTATAATCTGTAAGTAGTTAAATATCAAAAAAGTGGAAAAAAATGGAGCCTTAATGATGATACACGCATCAGGAATCATAGCATTCTCCTCAATGATAATTGACTTTTTACTTTAAATCAAGTCACGTATAAAGCAAACACATGACCCGCATCCTTTAATGTGATTGTTATGAATATCCACTCTTTGAAACTAGGCAGCAAACTATCAAGATACCTTAATTAAAGGTGTTTTCCGGCCATTAGGGGTTGAAAGCTAAAATGCCGTGTTGCAGCTATTATTTACTTGAGGCTGAAGCTGAGTCATTTCGAATGTCCACACTAATCAATAATTGTGCGTAGATGGTTGGTTTAAATACATTTTTAAATAATTAAATGTCCATTTCAAAATACATACCGCATGTTTAACTCAGCCAAAGCGGCTCGCTTTTTCTCCTGTTCGCGTAAATGAATTCTTTCAAGAATTCTAAGGAAAAAATGACATAAGAATTTCAAATTTATGGGAAGAAAGCAACCTGATGGACTGAAAACATACCGTGAATTTGGATTATCAATTTCGGCCTTTTTGCCAGCTAAAGCCAACTGCTCAGGTGTCTGAAACGAAAATAAATGCATTAATAGGAGTCCAGTAATGTTGCATTTAAAAAAATTAATTACCTGTTCTCTGAGCATTAGTGAAACTATTTCAAGAATATGAAAGGCAAAAACACCTCTCTCGTCTTGAGCATTGGCTAAGAAAAGAAGTATATCATCCCAACCAGAAAGATGAATGGTCCATAGCAATTGGTCATGAATTGAAACATCCTCATCCGTTCTCTAAAAGTCAACAAAAAAATCCCAATTGCTTACGTGTTCAGTGCAACTATCAGGGGAGATATGAAGGACATTTCGAATTAGGATCAAGATTCTCTCAATCATCAATCGATCCTCATCACTTCGTTCATCCCAATCCTTATTAAATACTTCTTCGACACGCTCAGCAAGAACTCGAAAAAGGTTCTCATCAGCGAAAGCCTGTTTGTAGCTTTTGAGAATAGAATCCACCTTCATAAAAGCAGCATAAAGATCCCTATCAGAGGGAATTTCGTTACGAAAGCAGACGACGGCTGGTTGGGTTAGACTAACCATCAGTCGAACTGCGAGATCGAATAAGACAGGATCAGATTTACTGACTTTAAGTAGGGGAATGAGATCGCTAACTAGGATTTTCATATTCCCCAACTCTGTTCGAATATCGCAATTCGTACTTTCGTAACGGAGATAGCGTAAAATTGAACGAATTGAAGCTGGAGCATCTGAATCAACTTTGTAAACATTTTCGTCTACGAAACCAAGACAAGCACAACAGGCTTGCAAATCCGCATACTTTTGATCAATTTGTATTGACATTATATCTAAAGCATTAAAACTCACTTTAAAACGCGATAGAAGACTGACAATAAAATTTAATAAATAAATTTATCGAATAATAAATACCATAAGTTTAAGTTTGCTAAAACAGATCGTTTATAATCCAAACATTAACAATTCATAAATGCATAGACAAACGATCTTCACAAAATTACAAAATCACCGCCTCTTACAAGATTGTCAAATAGTGTTCGAATCTTTTATTGAATAAAACTGAATATATAAAAAAGTATAAATGGATAAAGATTTTGCTTTTATGTGTTCTAATCATAAATTATTTAGTTTTTATTAAAGCGATTTAATTAAAATGTTTATGTTTTAGACGGAATCGTAATCAGACAATTAAGTGTAAATGAAAGTAGAATATTAAATAAAAATCTGTTAAACCTCGTTTCCTTACAATAAAATACTTACCAATAATAATACTGCCTTGTTTAGTTTGCAATATTTTACGGATAAGTTCTCATCTCATCTTGGGTTTTTATTAGATTCCAAGAAACACGCACAGCTTGGGACCCAATTTCTGTAAAATTCTCTTAGACATATTAAACTAATAATTAATACAAATCCATTCTTCAAACACTAAGTAATTCTCTTACTAGGAAACTGTTTAAACTACCATGATTCCCACTGATATTTATGCCTCCTATTTATCCAAGATCGGTGAAAATCCTACAATGGGAAGAGATAAATGAAACTATTTCTATTTGGGTATTCAAGATTCAAGAACTGGGATAAATCTGAAAATGAGCCACACAAAGCCGTCCACGAGTCTCCCCTCCTGTTCCGTCTTTCCTCTAAATTCTTCTTCTTGTAGCTCTTTATCTTAACTTCCTATTGATTATTTTTTCTCTTGCCATTAATAAATTAATAAAATGAACCGCAATGCAATCTTGACATCTTTCAATATGTTCGTGATTAAAGAGTAAGGAACAATTTTTTCAGTTAATGGGGTTTGCAAGATAATCCTGAAAGCCATTCAAAGTATTTGTACTACCATTAGATTAACAAATAATTCTTATTTGGGTGTTTACGTTGATAGGTATTATTAATAAAAGAATTTTTAATTAATGTCTTTTTAATGTGAATGATTTTGTTAAAAAACTTTCATGTAATATTGCAGACCTTCATTTTTTGCCGCTTTCTATTCCTCCATGGCTCTCTTGAATTGTACATCAAAGTTGATTGGAACGTTCCGACAATCGATGTTTCAATCAACTTTGCATTGGTTTTTTTGTTTTACAACCTAACTTTCGTTTTTTACTGCTTACCATCTGTTTTATGGAACTCTTTTATTCCCACTTGTATCAGTTACACAAATTAATAGATCCCCAGCATTGTCATTGTTCATCCTAGAAAATTTCAAATTTTAGAAAGAAATAGTAGTTATTTTAACCGTTCTTGACATACTTCGTCCTTGTCTCGTAATCTCCTTTCAATGTTACTCCAATCCGGCTGTGATATACCTGTCCATTAGATCTCGCTCGACTACATTTGACTCAAAATAGGGAGAGAAGGTTAAGACCTACTTAATAAACAAAATATAGAGGGATTTATGTTGTGTTCTTGTTGTTGATTTTGCTAGATTGAACTCAGTTTTCGATTTCATCCATGCACCTGTCACTAACAATGAGCACCATCTTCTTGGTAAAAAAGATTGACAATTTAGTGACAACATGTGAGAATTGCTCATCCAAAGAAAAAAATTATCACAAAAGTTATTAACTCAACTCATTTTCATTTTTCCGAAACCAGAATTGTCACCGCATCATGTGATGTCAACGATTTCACTTTTGCGGTCAAAGCGGTTTAAGAATCTTAGATACAAGAACGCTCAAATGAAAGGAGGGAATTAAAAGAATGGAAACCATACAGGTTGGAAAGTACATGGCCAACATTTTAACTGAAGAAATAATAAATAAAAGAACGTCTTTAGTTTAAATAAATTTTAGTTTACATTCTGGTCTTTTGATACTTCGTTGATTTGGGGAAAGGTACCAAATATATTAATAATAGACGGGTTACTGAGGAAATCGGAAAATTGGTTTGAGAGTGGGTCAGATGTGAAATCTTCGATTTAAATAACGACTAGCAGGTTTCTAACTATGCCTCGAGGTAAGTTATTAATGTGATGAAGTAATACCATCTTACATTCAACTAAACGCCAAGTATTGGGAACTACTCAAAAATCCATGTGTAGCACCTCCTGTCTATTTCATGTTATATTTTTACATAGATTAACCGCCAAGTTGCTGAAATGCCAAACATAGTTATTTTCGGAAAATTATGTTTATGTGTAGCACGCCAATTCGTAGAAAATATCTTTTCTGCCTTTGAAGTGAGTTCGCCCGCGAGAGTAGATGAATAACACTGTGAATCTCAAGTTGTTCGATAGTGAAAGAGCTGTAAAAATCATTAGCATCAGAACATTTTAGAGAACCACATTCTTCTCACTTGGATAAATCAAACCCCTTTGGTCTAAATTGTCGGCGATAGATGTGTCCCTATAGATATTCCAGTCGTGTCGATTAGTGATTATGATGGTTGTCATTTTGATAGCCACTTTTTCATACACCCTGTCCTCGGACCTTACTCTCTAATGTTGCTGGTACTAATGTAATGGCAGTTTCTACACCTTACAGGTTAAAGAGTATATTAAGAATTGAGATGAATGATCTGCTTACTGTCGGAGAAAAGCCGTTCTCACTATTAGTGGGTCCTTGGTGAAACTGTTTTCAACACGGACTAGGAGTGATGGGATGAGGGATTTCGACAAAATATGGACGCTATTTACTTGTTCCCATGGGATTTGAGATTATGCGCCAGGTGGATTTGGTTTCATCCCGAATTTAGGTAAGAGTGAGCCCATCGGTCCAACCAAAGCATTGATATTTCGATCTGTCAAGAAGTAATCCTTAAAGATCGTCTTCTCCTGGACCATATCCTTGTCTTCGTAACTAGTCTCCACCATGACTGCTGAGCGTCTAGCTTAACGTTCTATTACTGTTCGGGTTCTGTCTCGTTGATTTGACTCTAGGAGAAACGTTGTGTGCATTTTCGTTGCAATTCCGCCGGCAACATCTTTATAAAATTCAATCTTGATGATATTAGCGCCTCCAATAGAATTCGCATCCCCGGAGTGACTTCGTTTGTTATGAGTGGATTAGTTAATGAAGAAGCCTGGAGTCTATTGCTAATTGGCCATTTCAGATTTAGCACTCTCTACTCACGGCTCGGAAATAGATTCTTGGGACTATGTTGCTTGGTATTCGGGTTTGAAGAGATGTCGGCTTCAGGCCATGAGTGACCAGATAAACGTCCATAACCTGGAAGCTTTTGATTTTGCTGCTCAATCTTATCACTGGTCAAAAATGGAAGCAAATGAGTTCCTTGGCATTCTTTGAGTGTGCAGCAAGATGGGTTCATTATAGTGATTGTTAAATCATCGATTTTCTGAGAAACATCGAGGAATTTGAATCATATCGGTTAAAATTACCTTATTTTCCCCATAGGATGCGAAATGGCATTTCTTTATTTTGTTTTGTTAAAAGAAAACGAACTCTCTTCACCCGATGAGTTAATGGGGGCCTTGAATTCGTTTATTTGTTATGAAATAATTTTATATAGATAGACGCTTTAGTGATAGGATAGAGTAAATAAACCAAGTCATTTTCGCATCTGGATTTTTACGGAGGAGGGTGAATATACGAAAAATTACAATATTTGGAGTCAGTAATTCCTCGTCGTTGAAGTCTAGGAGTAATGTTTGCTATCAGCTTAAGTGTCTATGCGCAAGCACGCGCACGCACAGCTGGACCTCCTTTGTATTGTAGATTTTATCGCTAATCATTTCCATCTGCTATGTATTTATGGATATCTGATGTCTTAAACAATTACCTGTACTGAAAATGGCATAAGGTCAATCACTAGCCGCCTGAAATTTTCTTCTATTTCCGAAAATGGCTTCTTTAATTGATAATTTGACGTAGAGCTACTCCAAAACTGCTTCCTCGCTTCTAGATAATAATGCTGAACACCCATTAAAAACCGATGGAAAATATGTTGATGCTATATTACAACAGCGTGGAACTATAAATGTGAACTTTAATGGCATATCTGAAATGTAAACAGTATGCAACAAGGTATACAAAATGGTATACGTAAAAACTTTTACCTTGCATAATGAGGGCCTTAAAGTAAAGAACCATTTACTTAGTGAAAATTTTGAAGAATATGGAAATTCATATGAGGAAGAAACTTTATTGAAAACACAAATTTTTCTATACACAAAATTTGTTTTTAAAGGAATTTTCGCTCGTGGCTTAATCTAATTCTTCAACTTAACTGATTGACAGTTCTGGCGATAACCTAACAATTCTAAAATTTTCATTACCTAAAGGCTCTGACAGAGATAGTTATTACCACTGCCATACAGCATTCATTAAAATTTTTTATACATTTGAACACAGGATAAATGAATTTTCTATGCTTACAGTAATCTTCGTATTTCGTACCTAAGTTGAATATACTTAGGAATTCTGGTTCTTATTTATTCATAGAAAGGTCAAAATAAGTCTCGGAAACTCCATTAATACGTAAATGCACTAAATTTAACTCATTTGAAGCCATAACTTTCATATCCATTTAGCTAAGAGAAAATTGAGAAAAAATGGGGGTGAATGTATTTAACCTGAAGATTTTAAAATTATATCCACATCTAAAAGGGGATAATATTTTTATTCAAATCAAAATTTTTAATAATTCTTAATTTTTAAAAATTACAATATAAAGTAATTTTAAGAAAAGATGGAATCAAATGCACTATTGGCTAATATATTATCGCGACCTATCATCATGTTTGTTTTATACCCAATATGCTAGCCGCTCTTATAAAGGCCTTCATTATTTCTCCTCTCAGCATTGATAAAATTAGGCGTTGTTCTTGTCCGCAAATATTTTGCAAAACTCTTTCCTCTTACTAGGAATTTAACCATGCAGAAAACCGATCTTACTGACCGCATTCCATTTTCAGTTATCGTTGATTGCAAAGCTCTGGAAAAGCTTTGTGTCTACGTTTGCAATACCGATACTTTTAATTCCAGCCGTTATTTTGCTGGAATTGTCGGCAATCATCCAGATTTCGGAAATTGGAACCCTCTAATGGGCAAACCGTGTAAATTCCGTGCTCAGAAGATGGCTGGGTATGTTCTGCTTTTATTGTCAATCTCATTTTCCTAGATCTGATCTCTGGTCCTTAGATGTTCCCAAAGACGTATTCAAAAAAAATTTTAAATATAGATTTTATGTTGCTGAAAAACGAACCGATCCCGACCAATTCTCTGACGACAAGAAAATCATTATTCTCGCCTGGGAGTCTCGACTTAAACCTCGTGAATTTAATATATCTTCATTTAACAAGGGGGAACTAGAAATGAAAACGGTTAAATTTGGGAAATATGGTATTTTTATATCTAGTTATATTATTTCTATTAAAGAAAATGGAACATTCATTCAACGTGGCTATCTGATCAATCATTCTGAGGTTCATGTACGTCTGCCTGCTGCTGGTTTGAAATTGTCAAGAAATGCCCTCTCTTATTTATCATCGTCCACTCGAGATTTAACAAAGTTAGTGGGCCAGCGAATTTACGTAACTTGCCGTCAATCGGTGATGAAAGGAAATGACCTGATTAACGCTTTGGAAGGAGGTATATTCTAATTTTATACTTTTTTGATGTATTTCTATTTAGAAATTCCAATCTATCCGGATGAAAGGATTACAACCAAGCAAAATACAAAGAGCTCAAGTCATATAATCTATTCAGAGGAGCCGAATTTAGCTAATGAGATTCATTCTCAACAAATTGATCCCAGTTTGGAGTTCCCTGATGATTATCCTCCGAAGGATTCTTCTGGGGGGTCTCAAGCAATACCCATTCGGGGCAATCTTAACAGTGCTTTTTCTATTCCGGTTCCTAGACGCTGTGAGTTTTCGGTATCGCCAATCTCCAGCCACAACTCCACTTGTCCTTCAACTCCGAGATCAACATCGCCTGCCCCATTTCAAAATGGAGAGCCGCCTGTGTTAGTCTCTGTACTTGCGAAGGAACGATGCACTAGACGTCTTCCTGAACACACTGGTTGCTGGGGCACTCTCTATTCGGGCACGGAAGATGTCTTTTTTTACCTCGAAGTCCTCAATTGTGACGACGTTGCTATTCAGTTGGAATTCTTCATTGAGGTTGTCAAACAGAATGGTAGTAAGAATGATGGTGAGCTCTCCGGCTTTTTATTCTCTTTCACTAATTCTACTATTTTTATTGTATCTTAGTAATTGAGGAGTCATGATATTCCATGAAGCTTTTGACAAAGTTGACCTTAATGAAAAAAACAAATTCGCAACTTTCAAAGGAATTTTAGTTTAGCTACACGAGACTAGCTACTGTACTAGTGTCTTCTGTTTAATGAAATCCTGTACACTTTTCTTTTTAATTTTTCATTATTTTAATGTCATGATTAGAATTTATATTTTCCATGGCTTGATACCTAGGGTGTAAATGTTTTAACAACTGTGAGCAATAATTACAGGCTCGAAATGAGATCTGATTACATGGTTCTAGTGTATAATCTTAAGGTTATGTAAAAATGATAGACTAAGTTGTCCTAATTGTTGCTTTACATCTAAATATTGATTGATGTCAAGTAATGTCTTGCAGTTAATCTCGGAGGAAGACGCCTCATTTATAGCCTCATTTGCTTATTTCTCTTTTATTATAACTATGCAGGCACGAACTTAATCTGATTGCTTAGCCTTACTTAATAATTCTAATGAAAATTCACGTGTTATTAAATTAGAATTATAACCTTTATACATTCACTTATGTTAACATTTACAGTGTTCTTTATTCCCTTAATAATCTGGGTGTCTTTTCCCCTCATTGACCATGTTAATTTTGTATTTTAAGGAAAAGAAGATGAAAAGCTCCCACCAGTTGTATCTCTTGGGACCGCTTGGCTCGGCCCTTTCACTGATTACTGGGGACACAAGCGTATCCAGTTGCTTAATCATAAAAGCGGGCCTATTGGAGATGTCAAGAGTAAATTGATTTCATAATGAAACTAATATCAATTTTTATATAGTTTCTTATATGGTTATTAATCCCATTGTGGGTGGGGCTCCGCCCAAATTTGATGTGAGTTATAAGCACTATTGGAAGAAACGGGACGCCCTTGATATTGGTCATCGTGGAATGGGCACTTATTACTTGTCCAAGAAAGAGAAGGATGCAGAGAGGTACGTTCTTTTTTGTGATTAACGCGACTTTCTTTTCAATTGCGGTGCACCTGTCTGGTGGTCTTTGGCTTACTCTGTGTATCCAGCCGCCAGGTCACCGATGTTTTTAACCTTTTTTCTTCTTTTTTCCAAATCATTTCAGGCCCGCGCCAATTAAGGAAAATACTCTTGGTTCCTTCCAGACCGCGGTTAAACATGTAATTGTAAACCATATCTCTCTGTCTCTCTAATTGCTCAGTTTAAGGACAGTTCGCGCTTGCCTGCTATATTATAGCAATTTAGTGTTCTGAAGCTAAATTATTGTTACTCTCATTATTGCTACCCTATTGGGTTATAAAGCCATAGTTACTTGCCACTATAGTTGATCTCTGTGTAATTATAGGCCAATCTATTAAGATTATATTCGAACGACGTAAAACTGCTTTGGTTTTGAGTCAGAGTTGTTACTTTATGGTACGTTTCGACAAACTTCTGCTTTGTCTCGTCAGTTAATTAACCATTTCTTCAGGTTGGTCATTGATCAGCTTGAGATAATTATGGTTACGCTACTCTAAGTATACACTGATTAAACTATTTTTCTTGTACGATTTCATAGTATATCTTTCAGTTTGCCTTAATCTCTTAACATACATTAACATTGGGCCGGTCACAGAGTTAGCATTATTATTATTAGCTTACCAATTCCAAATTAATTATTGACCATTGTTTTATAGAGTTTTGACTTCACATAATTTGGTGAGTCAAACGCAGTTTGGTTTCTTACAGTGGCTTCGTCGATTACTTCAGCTTTAGTGGTTTAAATTATTTTGTCGCACATTTCATCCAGTTGGTAACGTCTATTTCAGTTCTTTATTTTCCATCGTACTCCAACTACAGTGATCCCTCTTAACAAACCCACGTGATATGTATTTATCTTTTGGTGATTTTGCTGTGATGAAGAGAAAATGCATTCGCCTTCCTATTTCTCTCAAAAATATGCCTTTGTCAGTACTTGACTTATTTAATGTTTATTGCTCTCTCTATATTCGTTTTGTGTGTATGTTTGAATAAAGAGCCTATGTAGGATCTTAATTTTTTATGATCAAACGTATAAATTTTACTAAAGTTCCGCCTCCTTTTTTAGGGAGCGGATTTTGTTGAGATGGATGTTCAACTCACAAAGGACCATATGGTCGTTGTTTACCATGACTTTGAAACAGTCATCACTCCTCGCAAGGTAAGCTTCATAATTTACTATTATTGTTTCGTTGTCGTTGTCTAAAATGCCTTTTGTTTCATACTCGTCTGCCTCAGAAAAAGAAGGGCCAACTGACAAATTTCCCAGTTCCTGTGAAGGATCTACCCTTTGAGTACCTTCGTGAACTTCGTCTTCAGCACGCCACTGTCCTCACTGAACCCCAAACAGACGAAGGTGAGTTTTATTGCAGCATATGCTCATCTGCGACTTCAGAGATCATGAAGTTCGATGCTCACTAAGGAAAGTCCGTGTTTTTTATTATTATAATTGGCATCTAAAATGTCAAAAACTTTTTTCAAAGAATTTCAGTTTAATTATCTTTATTTCAACTGTGTTACTTTTGTGCGAGATTATTGTCCAGTTCCCAAAAGCTAATCTTCTCTTGGAAACTTACTAATTTCGAAATTATGGCTTCTCTGTCAAATTTTAGCCAGCTCCTGCCCCTCATGTTGGAGCGTTGTCCCTTTCTGTTAAGTAATCTTGCACAGTTATCTTATCATGCTTTGGTTTAGTCTTCCCTACTGCTGATAATGATAGAGTTAGGTTGTTACAGTTTAGCCCTGTCTCAGTAATTCGTAACTAATTATTCCCCACGCATTCTTTCAATTGCATAAATGAAGTTTTCAATGGACAAATATAGGTCTAACTTATTGAGTGGAATAGATGTTTGATTTGGTGGCAGCCATGGTTTCTTCCCACTAACGTTCTCTTTCTTTCTCTTGACACAATTATCTGTACAAATTTGTTAGATAGAGAAAGTTGGTGCAGCCCTTCCCATATTCCCATCCTCTTCAATATACTGACATGCGAGTTCCTATGACAAGGCTTCTTTGCTTTAATGAGGACCAGATTCAATTAGGGATTTGAATACGTCATTAAGATTTTACGTCGTCCTAACATTGACGCTTCATTTAAGTTGATCTTGCCCGTTATAAATCTTTAGACCGAGATTCTCATCGGCAACGTCTATGTACTAGAACATAAATTTCGTTGATGTTTTAGTGCCTTTGGGGTTGTTAAAGCCCCGATTAAAAAAGGCAGAATGCAATGTTTGCCTTACATGTTCTATTTTCTTTTGGTTTGCGTATTTGTAACCTTGACGATAGAATAAATTCGAGTTTTCTGTTCTAGTTGACCTAAAGTTCAGTTGATATATCGATCATTTTGTTCGTTAATGCTTGTTAATTATGCCCCATTGCGTATCTAAGTAAACGAATACTATTAACGACTTCCAAATTCATTCTTCTTTCCACTGTCTCCATGATGATTGAACACTTTTTTTAACAGCTTACACAATTTGACCCTAATGTTTTCACGAGGGTTTTTATTTTTAACTTTAACCCATCTTGTGATGTTCGTGACTTATTGTAAATATTATCAAAGCAAGGGCTGTAAAAGACAACGTGGAGATCAAAGTTTGTCCCCATCTTTATCTTATCGTATTCAACCATGAATTGCTTTCGGGTGTTGCTTGGCGTCATTTCCACGAGCCTTTGGTGTAATTATTGGAGTAAAATGCCTTTTAATTGTTGCCCACCTTTTGCCGATTTGCTTCGGGTTTTCACCATTTGCTTTCCTTTCTGTGTATCTTGTACAACCTCGTATGATTCTCCCCCCCTTTATCTTGCCTGAGGTTTTGTCCACGTGATTATCCTAAAATAACTCTAATCCCTAATATTAAAATGATTATCTATTTTCAGATGTGCCCTCGTTTGGTGTTTAATAGTAATTCACTCTCTAAAATAAACGATTCTTTTAAAATTTCTTAACCAATGCACTTGTTTAACTGACTATTGTATGACCTTTCTGTCAGGGTTGCAAAGAAAGGATGTGTTTTCCTTCGTCTTTTTACGTTCATTATCGCCTTTTTATTTTGCTTAAGGTTAGCAGTCCCTTTGACAAACTATTTACATGTCATTGTTCGGAGCGATTTGGCTCTAAGAACCCACAGAAGCTAACAAATATCTACTAGGAATTTTCAAAATATGGTTTTTTATCTTTGCAAATTCTAACTATCTATTTTATCTCAAGACATGGATCGTGAAGATTCTGATCCCGTAGAGCTGCAAGATTTCCCACTGCTTCGTCAATGTCTCCAGGAAGTAGATCCAGAGCTTGGATTCGATATTGAGGTCAAATATCCCCTTGATTTTAAGGTAAGCATTAAGGATTAAATTGAGCTCTGATTCCTAACCATATTCACTATTTCACTGATTTGTCTCCTCTCCTATAGTCGGGAGGAAGCGAGATGTCAAACTTCTTTGAGCGAAACTTTTATATTGATACTATTCTTCGCGAGATCTTTAAATACTGTGGAAATCGTCGCATTCTTTTCTCATGCTTTGACCCCGACACTTGTGCTATGTAAATTTTATACCGTTACATTTACTGTCTGCTTAATGTTTTGAATTTAAAGCAATATTGCATGCTATTTTTAGGCTGCAGGCTAAACAAATACGTTTCCCCGTTTTTCAATTGGGTGTCTGTCCAGAGTACAAAGACGTTCGCCATGGATCTTTTGACATGCTCTGCTATTCAGCTAAAGCAAATGAACTCTTGGTAAGGTCCATTGAGTTTTCCTTATTAAATACTTGAAATGATGGCATAATATGTAGACGTTATGTGTATAGGTCTTCCAAATGTGGAGATCATGTGATCTAAGCCTATTTACTCACATCTTATGAATGAAATGGCTAATAATTTAATTTATGTGCCGGTGGTATAGTTAAGTAGTTCGGGTACATCCGGAGAGTGGAATAGCCACTTGCATCATTTGACCATGGTTGTCTGTATTCACATTTCACACCATCGAGGCTCAATACTACCTCCCGCCCCCCTCCCGCCCCCTCCCTCCCCCNCCCCCTCCCCCCCCCCTCCACCTCTACTAAATTTAAATATCGAGGAACGCATTCTTAAAGAGGCTTGGCTATTGTTCCTGTGAGTGTTTTAAGAACAATAGACATAGGAGTTATGTGTTCCTGATATCTCATTCGAAGACTTTCAAATACTCATTTTGGTTAAATAGAATACTCAAAAACGCATTCCAATGCAATCAATAGTGTCTTAATAATTGCATAGAACTGCTATTAGGTATAATAATGATCAGTAGTCTATCTTTAGCCTGGTGAGTGAGTTTAATATGAGCCTGATACGATCTAAGTATTTTATGGAGAATCGTGTATTAATCTTAAGTTATGAAAAATATTAAAAGTGCAAGGGAAATGCGGCATCGTTATTATAAGGAGACATTTTATTACGAACCTAATGCTGGCAAGTGCCCAATCTGTGAACCTTTGTGGCTTTCAAAGGAGAAGGGTGGTAAAGGCGTCACCCTTCAAAATGTCATACTCGCTATTTGACAACTTAAGATCTAATGAAAACTATTTATCGGGAGGTTAGTAGGTAAATATTTAATCAAATGATTTATTGGTTGGGTTTGCTAATTGGTGCTTCAATTCATATGAAAATGTTAAATCTTGTTCCCCTTTGAGCTAAATGGAACTTGAATTTAATTTAACCTAATCGCGAATTTTTTTTAAGGAGGTGATGTAGACATATAGATTCTCTGTAACTCTTTTTATGCCCCTATTGCGAACGAATTCTAACTGTCTTCTCATTTTTCGTTCTCCAGGGTGTTGCGGCTAACAGCGATGAGTTTCTTCGAAAACCCGATAGGGCTGGGTTTGCAAGAGAACTAGGCCTTATTGTTCTCGTTTGGGGGACTGCTTCGAACGATTCGAAGAATATGGAGCAACTCAAGAAACTCGGAGTTCGTGGACTTATCTATGACAGAATGCAAGAACATAAGCAGCTTGGAACCGTTAGTATGCTAAAGAAGAATAAGTCGGCAAAGAATGCCGATTCTGATGACGATTGTAATGATCATCACGAGGCAGAACGCTCTAACTCAAACCGTTCAACTGCCTCTCCTTCTCCCCCCGAATCTGGGACTTCAACCCCATCCCATCATGGTGGCGCTAAGCCCGATTGTCTGGATCTTGAAGCTCTTTCAGAGAGCCTAAGCAGACAGTTGTTACCTGAGACCACTCCCTCTCGAAATGGACGGCGGTTGACTCTCACAACTAATTTTAATTAGATTCATCTCTGATGATTTTATGTACATTAAATTCATCCTATCTCTCGCTTTTCAGGCACCTTGTAGGTGTTTTTTGTAGGTCACGTCGAAGTTTATTTGATCCCCCATTGGATCTTTGATGTGTAGTGAACATTTGTTGTCAGTCACGCAAACTTATTTAAACGCGTGTTTGTAGAAAATTTGCGGCCTTATTCTGTGTTATGAAGGTTGGGATTGGGTTTGTGTTGTTATGAGGATAAGGGATATAGAAATCTTTTTAGCGGAGTGTGTTCTAATGTCAATTCTTATGAAATTCCAGACATGTCAGTAAATTACGTCTAATTTTAGAAAGATTACAAAACTGGAGCCTATTTATCGATTGAAATGGACAACTCTAGTTACTCGAGGAAAATACATGAATGCTTAAAATTTTTTAATTCGGCCTAGTTAATCAATAGTGAGATGCCAGGACATTTCCTGTTTCACCTTTCTCGTGGAGATGGCTGGAAATTGTCTTCATTCCAAATATTTTAACTACAGTCGTTACTTTCGTAAAACCTGAGCCTTCAATACAATCTCATAGATTACACTAAACTTGAGAAGGGCTCACTCTCTCTTGTGTTGTACACATCCATAACTCCCCAGCATTATTCCTTGCAAATCTATTAGTAAAAGGCTAGTAGAGTGACCGTTTTAGATGTTTGTTTTGGCTCACGGTATTATCTACTTAGGTTAAAGACAATATCTGAGAGTTCCTGACTCAACCCGTCTTAGCTCTGTAGCGCTGGTGAGGATCAGCTGCACGAGAATTTAACTTGAGTGGATGTTGTGATCACGTAAGAGGAGATTTATAGGACTAGACATATCTTCATTGCAGAGTTGAAGCGCGTGCGTTTAACCTTTTAAATTAAATTCAGAAAACGGGGTCAATAAGAGTCGCTTAAGTGGAAAAATGTACTCACCTTATATCAACTAGCAGGTCTGACCTTACAAACTGGCTTAGTTTGGATGCGTGTTTTCTGAAATTAGTCGAAGCAAGGAAAGTGTAAATAAATGCAGCCGTAGAAGTCTTGATTTCATGTATGAAAGCCCCAAAGTTGTCTTACGCGGTTTGAATCATAAAATAAAAGTCGCCATGCAATTACGCAAGTATCTTCACATTCTACCAAATATCATGTGATATTTTGTCTAAATGTCAAAGCAGGAAATTAATTCACCGTTTGCTCTAGTAAACATTGCACGGAAAAGGCTTGTTGGTCAGCTGCAAATAAAGAATGAGCCCTCGGGGTATTACCGGAGTTCTTCATTTTGATATCTCTAATGAATTTTGGTAATAAACTAATAATTTTGCTAAAGACTTCCTGCCAGTTGTTGTAAATTCACTGCGTTTTCCGAAGAGAATAATGAATTTAGTGCATTGAATGCCAATGGCTGCGGAAAAAAAATGGTTGAAATTTTAATAACACAAATAATTTTCTTAAAGCAGTGATTCTGATAAAAAGCACATATGATTCATTTATTTCCAATGTATTTGCCAATCATTTTTCCATTTACAATTGTGGCTGGACACCAACTAAATCCTTAGTTTAACATGACAGAAATGAATTATTCATTGAGGATAAGAAAATATGAGGAAATTCCATTGAGGTGTTTTAATCTGAAAATTATTAGCATCTTGAGTTCACATTAATCCTAATTATTTCCACGGTTAGGCATAATGTTAACTTAAAATTTCGATTGTTGTAGTAAATAACTAGAAATATACTAATCCTTTTTACTATCCATTATGCCTTTAGCAAAATTATGAATTTCATGGAACCAATCATTCCTCACGGTAGCATACATAAGGTTCATAATAGTGAATTGGGGACTGTTCGAATCTCCTCGTCGTTAAACATCGTGGCGCTATTACAGGCATGAAATTAAATTTTTGGCTAGACCTTGGTAGGTGAAATAAGATATTAATAAAAGCACTGTTGAATCTCCATTTTCCTTCTAAATCAGCGCAGACAAGGAGCTCGTGTTCGTTGAAAAAAATTGCCAACCAAATGCAACTAAAATGTGAAGTAGAATAGTAATTGTACATGTGGATTCTATTATGTCACCGGTCCCTTAGAAATGAAAAGGAGATCGGAAGGCGCTGAGGGATCGACCATAAGGCACCCATAGATAATCTTCCAACTGGCAGAATTTTTCCATTAGATGAGTGCAACATTAAAAATAAAAGTTAGCTAATAATAAAAGAGCAAAGGGATATTAGGGCTAAAATGAAGGGTGAAAACAAAAACCAGTAATTAATTTGCTCGTTTAATAATGGGTTTAACAATATCCGCCTTAGTCTATCACTTGTGTAATTTTTCCCTAACTGTTGAGATCATGTTCAAGAGTGATCCCAAGTGCATAATTGAATGGTATTTCAGCATCAAGACAGTAACCATTGCTAATATTTTTTTCAAATGGCAGGCTTTATGATATTTATCATTAGCTCTTAACTTTGACTTCAGCTTCCCCATGGGTGGAGGGGGGGGTACATATATATCAGTCAATTGATAGCAGTTCATTAACTGTCTTCTTGCTTTCCGTTATCTCTGGATTTCCGTCGTTGTCTTTAGGACCAGACACCGAATCAGGCGGGTCTAATCAATTTCATCCTGTAGGTTACATAGAGGGTACGTGGGTTGAGTGTATAATACCAATCTGTGAAAGTCGGGTATGTCGGAGAGTGCAGCTGTTCACTGTTTCTCCTTTGTTCGAGCTTTAAGTTCGTTGCACCTTGAGGTCTGGAATTCTCTCCTGATCGTTGTCCCCTTCTTAGCAAGTGTGTCAGCAAGCTCATCGCCTTTAATGCCACAGTGACCAGGAATCCATTGTAGGACCACTGTTTTGTTTTTCTCTCTCAGTAGCTCATAGAGTTTTCTACATTCCTTTATCTCAGTTGTTTTGGGTGGCTCTCTGATTCCAATTGAGTTTATTGCTTACTGTGAGTCCGAAAGTATCACCGCTTTGGTGAATTTCGTATCCAGGCAACATAATTGGCATAGTGCTATCCTAATGGCCTCGATTTCTCCTTCAATAGCGGATCTATTATGTCCCGCTGCTGCGTAGAAAGCGAAGATTTCAGAATAGACACCTTCACCAAGGTTTGCTTGGTTTTCTGTGTATGACCCATCAGTGAAGACTTGGAGCCATTGATCTCCAGGATAGTTGACGTTGATTGTCTCAAGGGCCAGTGAGCGCATTTGTTCTGGAGGGGTGTTTGATTTCCTGAAGAAGTCGAGCAGTTGGGTGCGACACACTACATCAATGTCTGCTAATGGGTTCATGGGTAGAGAGAGGCTTTTTGGTTGATCATCGATTTGTAACGCTTTCTTCAGTTCTATGGCTTTCTGTATTAGACCAGATTGCGTTTTCAGATGTCTTGGTCTATTCTCATAGGAGCTGAAGAACTGGTCCATGGGAATGCGCAGTAGTTTCTCATACAGGATCAAGGCCTTCTCTTTGATAAGGGAGCCTATTGTGGTGTTTCCTGTAACTTGGAGCATTNATATCCTTGTACCTTAAGAGCGGGTTTATGCTCTGATGGGCCAAAGAAAATGTTTGGAATGCAGTTTTTGCGGTGTTAATTACCATTCCATTGTTGTCACACCAGTTTGCTAGTAGCATAAGTGCACTATTAAGAGCACTTTCTGTCCTCTCCTTAGCGTTTTTCTTAGGGGCGGAATACTATAGAACAAGATCATCTGCATAAAGTAAGCACTTAACGCCCGTGACTGTCTGTACCAATTCGGCTATGTCATTGATGAAGACATTGAAAAGAGTGCAGCTTGTGACAGCTCCCTGTGGAAGGCCTGTTTGCAAAAGATTGGATTTTGATAGAGCATTTCCATATCTGACTTTACATGATCTTTGTCCAATGAATGCTTTTATCCAGTTTAGTATGTTATGCTTAATACCAATCTTTGCCAATTTTAGAATTAGCTTCTCTTTCCATACTAAGTCATATGCTGATTTGAAATTTCCTTTCCATTTATGTTTGTATTCTTAATGGGCGTTGAAGTCTCCTAATACTATAGTTTTGTGTGAGATATTCAGGAAATCAAAGTTGGGACTATTCTAGGGTGGATTATTGATCGCAAATATCTTGAAGTGATTTTGAAATTTCCAAACATTTAATCTGTTTATTTCGTATATGTCTTGTGTTGAGTCCATACTCTTGATTTGATCATGTGATTTGAGGCCTTCATTTACTCCAGTCAGAATTCCACTTGCAACTTGCCGATATTTAGGTAGAAGGTACGGGGTGTAATCTGGGAATTGGTAGTATTTCAGTTTGTCATCCGAAAGGTTTGCTTCCATAATTGTGAAAATGTCTACATCATAGGTTTGTAGGATTTTCTGGACTTGGATCTTTTTGTCCTGTGACATCCCTCCAGCATTCCACTGGAGGATCTGAAGACGTTGTGATTCGCCCTGACGAGGGCGATTTCTCTTATAGCCTTTTTTCAAGCTAATCACAATAAATAGAAGTGAAAATGCCGAGTTATAGACTTTTTTGCCGCATGAAGAAAAACGAATGCCGAGTGATAGAATTTTTGCCGTAAGAAAGTACGTTGCCCAGGGTGCACCACGTGGAGGTAAGTCTATCGTACGTTGCTCAGGGTGCACCACGTGGAGGTAAGTCTATCGCGCACCCCCCATTGCTAATGTAAAGCTTTTAAATATGTGCCAAATAGGGGCAGATCGAATCTCAAAAGCACTTTAAATGCAAAATTCTGATCAGGATTTCATAATGATAATCTTCATAATTTGCTTGGCTAGAGATCTGTACGGACACGTCAACGCCAACTAAAAATCAATGAAGTAGAAAAATTGAATAATGAGGATCGTGTTGTAAGGCACTTATTATTTGTGTCCTGCAGTGAATTACCAAAAGAGCGAGCCAAGACTTATTCTCTATGCCGAGTAAACCTCCACAACATGGAAGAAACAGACGTATACCATGAAATACAATTTTTTTGCGC